AAGGAAGAAGAGGAGGTGATTGAAGGAGACGATCGGTTCATTCAAAGGAGGAAATCAAGCAAGGTAAGCCTTTCGAACATTCTCCTACTCTTCTTTCTCTCATCCGTTGCAACTTTAGAAGAGGAAATGGCAGTTTAAAATTCTGGGTTATGGAGGAAAAATCAGTATCTAAATGTAACAAAAGTAGCAAAGTGTAGATAGAGGCTTGATCAAGTAAGTTATAGGGTTGTATATGTTGTTGACTTGCTTTTGGAATGTTTGAACAAAGCCCCTGTTCTGCTTTTCTGTTGTGAGCGTTAGGTTTCTGAAACAGGGGTTTGAGGATTTAAGGAAATGGCTTCTGGTTTGGGTAATAGATGATTAACGAGTCTAAATATAATTAATTATTTTCTGGTTGTATGATTATAATATGTTGATTTTATATGCTCTGTGTGGTTATTGAGGGATCGAAGAGTGTGTGCTTTGAATAAGGAAAATTCCAGACTTAATGATGGAAGGACGCTGTTCGATTTTGCTGGTCAAGAAGCATTTGAATGCTAAACGCATGAGCTATAAATATATATATATATATATAGATATATAGAACAAAGCCTTTTGAGGCCGGAGCATTGGGAGAAAGAATTGGGCTCTTTATATATATTCTTTTGGTTTTGGCTGCACGTACTGAATTATAGTGAACAGATTTTCTTGGAGTTAAAATGGAAAAGTAATGCCAAAATCTAGAATTTTCATAAGCGAAGGAAATTGTTGAGATTGGGAACTAATTAAAGCATGATATGTGTGTATATGATTGGTGTTTATCTCAGCAACGTTAATGTTATGATTTGAGGGATGAAACTAAACCTCATGGTATTAATTACGTATACCTGATTGATAGGGCAATCTGGAATTTTTGAAGGAATGGTGTAGAGGGTGAATATATATATATATATATATATATATATATATATAATGAGGAATAAAAAATAATGTTTTAGTTGAAGCTTGATGCTGGAAAAATTTAGAAACAGTGGCAGAATGGTGCTGTTAGAATTATAGACGGTGTTTGGGGGTCCAAATGCAAAATGTTTAAATAGGAAGTCTATAGGCTTATGTAAGTGTTATATTATAGATATGTATGTCAAATAGGAGTCTTAAGAGGATAGAAGTTAAACGTGATGCCCCGTTAAAATGATCATAAAGGATTTAAATTATAAGGAATGTGTTAATGTGTTAATGTAACGCTCTAGATGAATATCTAGATATATATATATATATATATTAATCTGCCCTTGCTCAAATAATTTATAGGATTTGATATTTGTTCGAATCCATTAAGAAAGGAGCCAAGAAGGAGATAAGGGGAAGGGAATACAGAAGAAAAAACAAAAGGTAGTAACTCTTTTCTTTTAATGTGATTGTGCATTAATTGCCACATGCTTGAATGTGCTTTTATGCTGATTGTGTATGAGAACATGTGAGTTGCCTTTGCATGATAATAATTGTCATGACAATATACGCTGGTTTCCATTTATTTTGGAATGTGGGCGCAATAGATAGCGATTGGCTGTATGGGTGTATGGTGTATGTGCATCATTGATTATATTTGGATGCAAGGTGTTGTTCTCTTTGGCCTGTGTAGCATGTTGTTTGTGATCTTATATGATTACGTGAAGGAAATTTGTTACTACTAAGATTCTTTAGAATCTCACCCCTTCTTCCATGTAATACAGCAAGAGCAAGTACTCCTAAGGGCAAGGGAGTAGTGATCGGTGGAGTTTGAAGGTGCAGGAAGTTGGCGATCTTTTGTGTATATACATATTGCTTAAAATGCATCTTATTTTGAGGTGAAGATATATTGTATATCTAATTTGGTATGTAAATATTCCTCTATAAGGAGGTGATAAATGGCAGATAAACCATGGTAACTGCTATTGAAGGAAATGATCAATATTTTGATATAGTTATTATTTTGTCTAAAATTATGTGTATCTGTATATGTAACTCGTTGTATGAGCTTATGACCAGAATGTTGAATGTTAGATCCTACTGGCTATAATTGATTAGATATGGGATCTAAAAGGTTGGATAGAAAAAGAATGGGTTCGATGATTGAATACGAACCATGGGCCTTAAACGGTTTTTACCGTTTTTGTAAAAAGGTTAAAGTGGGTACTCGAATCACTAGGTAGGTTACTTGAAAGTGAATTTTAAAAGGTTTAAAACCTTTCAGAAAATCTCATTCCTTGAATAGGATCAGACTTTGTATTTGGAAACTAAAAAAAAAAAAAAGGTCTTCCCAAGGATTGGAACCTGGCTTTTAATGATTCGAGATTAAACAGAACAACTATATTGGTGTATAAAGGATAGTCGTGACAAAAGTCCGTGGCTAAACTTAGCCATGGAATTAGAGACGGAATTTAATCCGTCGCTAATTGGCCACAGAATTTTTTCCGTCGGAAAATTCTGTGGCTAATTTTGTGGCTAAAATTTTATAATTACGATTTTGCGACGGAATACTTTTTCATGGCTAATTTAGCCATGGAATTACGAATTAAAAATTATTCTGTCGCTCATTTTCCGTGGCTAATTCCGTGACTAAAATATAATATTTAATATAATATAATATAATAATATAATAAATATATAATTAAATTATATATCTTATGAATATTAAATAAAAGAATTAAATTTTAAAAAATATATTTATGAAAAAATTATTTACCATTTAAATTCAAAATTAGTGTCATTGGAAATTAATATTATATTTAAAATAATTTTTTAAAAAATAAAGCACTATAAAATAAATAGTAAAACAAATATCTAAAAATTATTTTGTTACAAAAGTAGTTATGATTAAAATTATCATATAATTTATTTTTAGTTTCTAATAATATATATGTGTATGTATAATTATTTGTGTAAGAGAATATTATATATATATATATATAATTTTGCATAATAAGTTAGTAAGTTCATTGCAGCTTAACTGGTGAAGTCACGTGCGTGCACAAACGAAGTCTTTAATTGGTTCGAGTCATGGAGAAGTCACTTTGAGGAGGAATTATATGGTGACGACATGTGGCGATATAAGGTGGCATGTGAGATAGTGACATGTGGTGGCAGAGGTGAGGTAGCAGGCACACGTGGAGATGAGGTCGTGACACGTGGTAGCGACACGTGGAGATGAGGTGGTGACATGTGGCGGCCAAGGTGAGGTGGCATTTTAATTTTTTTTAACAAATCTATTAGTGACGGAATAGGAATTCCGTCGATAATTAGAGACAAAAAAATTCCATCAGTAATTAGTGATGGAATTTTAATTCCGTCAGTAATTCCGTCGGTAATTACCGACAAAATTTTGATTCCGTCGCTAATTCCGTGGGTAATCCAATTAGTGATGAAAAAATTAGCGACAGAACCAATTCTGTCACTAATTCCGTCAGTCATATGATTTCGTTGTTAATCCGTCACTAATCCATCGCTAAATAAAAATTTCGTCACTAATAAGATGTTTTTTACTAGTGACTATTAGTACTAAATATGAGTACCTCTTCTAGTATGATTCAAAAATTAGTTTGTTATATTCTGAGAAACTAGTCCCTTTTCATTAGATACTCAACCCTCGTTCACCGAATCTAACCAATATTGTTAATAGTTTAACCTACGTTGATTAAAAAACATGCGCCCAGTTATCAACCTTCCTTGTTAAAGTCAGCGTAAAGAGTCTCCACAACCACTGCTATATTGGCTTCCTTATCCTAGTGCAAAGAACTCACACACCCACCATATTCATAGAAAGTCGAATTTGTAACATCTTAACTTAAGTCAAGAACTAAGAAGGTGTTTGATGTCCGTTGAGCCAAACAGCTCCAAAAAACCTTAATTATCATATATTCTGAATCCATATATTGATATTGACGTTGTATATTTAGATTATTTGACGGTGGAGAATATGCACTCTCCTATCCTAAATGCTGGAGTACATATATATATATATATATATGTATATATAGTCCTAATTTTTGTCTTTGATTTGTTTTTGGTATTGCTTTTGTCTCCAACCAGGCATCGCGCGCCAGAAAAGCCGCGACATGTTGCGCCCTCCCCCTGAAAAGAGCCAAAGGTCGTCGTTGTTCTGTGAAGCCGCGAGACGGGAACCTTGGCTCAAATCTCGAGATGGGAAAGCCAACTCAGAGTTAAAGCCCCCGCATGGATTACAAACTGGGGCAACTATAATATAATTAAAACACGTTAATATATCATTAAGAAAACAACACTTGACGTATTTTATTACTTAAGGTAAATTGTGTATCATCTTTTGGTTCAACTAATCCAATCAGGCATGTTTGAATCGATACAACGAACAGTGTGAAAGGAGAGATAGGCTAAAGAAGGTTGACCAGAAATAATACTATTCACTATATATATGATAAGCTCATCAAGAACCAAATGAAAATAAAGTGTCGAGAAACAAGCTTATGGGGCGGAAAAGAGGGAGTGATTTTGGAGAGACAATGTATCACCCATTGCATCGCCACCCAATGAGGCTGAAACGTCACGAAGCAAACCCGTTTAAGTGCATTGGATGCAAAGAACTAGGATTTGGCCCAAGGTACCAATGTGTCAAGAACTGTGATGACGTCGTCCTTCACGAGGTGTGTTTCAAGGCTCATCCTCAAGACCGATCCAGAACCCATCCATATACCGGTCACTGCAGATTTCAATTCCTCTGGAAACCTCCCGGTGGCCCGAACCGCCGGCTGTGCGATGCTTGCTGCAGGGACGTTCGAGGGTTCGTGTATCATGATAAATATAAACACGAGCTATACTTGCACCCTTGTTGCATGAACCTTAAGATCTCCATGTCTGATCCCTATCATAGGATGAAGCTGATTCTAAAGGACAAAGTGCTCTCCAAGTGTGTGAAATGCGAGAGGGTGGTCTTACGTGTCCTCTTGTGGAAACTACTGCTACCCTGTCTGTTGCGTGAAGAAATTGATTCTGAATAACTGGAAAAGGGGCTATTTCAATAATGTGGCTTCTTCTTCCTCTTCAAGAGGAAGAACCTTGTCCAGAGATGAGATTGCAAGACCAATAAGAAGATGTAGGAGTGTAAGGCAAAGTGATCGAAGCTCGATTCCATCTTTGGCCTTGGCAAGAAGGGCCTCGTCGAGGCCGCCAGCAGCACGGTTCAGTCATGGGTTGATCAAATTAGCGAAAATAGGTTTCAGCGTTATAACGTCTGTTGTGTTCGGAAATCCAGCTCCACTGTTGATCTCGTTCAGAACCTACTGGATTAAAAGGCTGGATCCGTAAGTTAAATATGATATATGTGTGTGTGTGTGTGTGTGTGTGTGTGTGTGTGTGTATTTGTAATGGTATTTTGATATGATATTGCTCTTCTATGCTTGACGAACTTGTGATATAGCCAATGATTGGTCCAAGTGTCTGTTAATATAATGGGCTTCGTGTTCTCTTGGCACTTGATTTCTACTTTTGCATTGTTTTTGCTGATAAAACTTGGGAAAAATTCGTTAAATCCCCACAACAGACCTCTAATATCCAACAGCTCCCATAAAATTTTAAAATTTCACTGCACTCCCTTAGACTAAAATGAAATTAAAATTGAAGGGTGAAAAGACATTAATAGCCCTGTTTTTAATTTTTTAAGAAAATTAATTGTCATGGGCTAGAGCTTCTGCCTCTGGCGCCAGCTACCAAAGCCCTGATGGTTGGACCTCCAACCTCCAATGGCATTATATGATTAAGTGAATTGGTTGGCTTGATGGTCACAATTTTTTTGGTGTGCCAAAAGATCATGAGTTCAAATCCTCTTCGACCACTATATTTGAAAAAAAATCCTTTGGTGGTTGGAGCTCCAACCATAGATACTCAGGTAGCTGGATCTGGCACCAGAGTTCCAGCAACAATTAATCTTTTTTTTAAAAAAAAAAAAAAGAAGCAAGGATACTATTGTATTTTCACTCTTAAATTTTAATTTTATTTTAGTCTGAGAATGTAGTGAGATTTTGGAATTTTGGTGGGGTTATTGGATATTAATTGTCTACTGTGAGGGTTTAATAAAATTTTTCCAAGAAACTTTCTTTCACTGTGTTTTCTTTTGCTGGATACTCCCCCTTTAAATTTCAGGTTTAATTCCCGTTTGATTTCTTTTTTTTTAAATTTTGACTTTGTACATATAAAAAAACATTCTAATTTCCAAATGCTTGGCTTTCACGGTCATACGTAGATCGAGCCCTTAGGAACATCGTTGGAATCCATAAATGGCAAATCGGATAAATGAAATAACTTTAAAAAAAATTACTAAAACTGTAATACACAAGTACCTTGAAAAGAGATTAGGAACATTACATATAATACTACCTTTGATCCTTAATATAAAAACTAATTGATTCATTTGAGTAGATTATGAAAATTTGTTAAATTAATTATTTGTAATAAATAAGTGTTACTTTTCTTAAAGTACTCTTGCTAATTAGTTGTATTACCATTGACATTTGATAAAATATTTAACATGTGTAATTACTACAACATTATCTTGAGAAAAAATGAATAAATATAAAAGATAAAGTAGATTAGAGTATTATATTTAGGACCAAATTAAAAGTCAAACTAATTCTTATATTAAGGATAAAATCTACGAAAAATAGCATCATTTATCTATCAGCTAGGAACACTGTAGCTTATTATAGATGTGGAATCTTGCGTTGAAATTGCCTTGGCTCAAATCTCGAGAGGGCAAACCAGCCCACTGAGTCAGGGGCTCCCGAGTTACAAGCCGGCGCAAACCAGGGTTTTGGGTGGCTGCTTTGGAAAGAGAGCCTAAACAAAGACCGATATACTAGTCGCACCGAATTATAATGTATTTTTAAAATTTGCAACGTGCATTATAAAAGATTGAACATGTGAATTGATTAAATATTAAACTAAAATATAAAAACATTGGGGGCTAAAAGTTTAATGATCTAATGAAAGTTGTTTAAGTTGATGATTCTTGGAAGTAAAATTAAGTTGTTTTTCTATCATCGTGCATCTATTTCTTTAGTAAGTCTTCTATATATCATAATCCCGTTTGCCTTCAATCGTTTTAATTAGACATTGAGGAAAACTTGTGGGGCCAAATCGATAATTAAGACAAACTTCTTGTTATCAAATTTTAAGGACAAGGTCGATAATTGATGCACCTTTGAAAATTTTCTTTTTATATATGTTATGGGAACAGATGGAAAATTAGTTTTCTTCGTCAATGATGTATATATCAATATATCATTTGAACGGCAGGTAAGAGAATAACACAGTGGAGCTAAAAATAAAGAATCATAATTAAATTATAATTGACTGACTCCTGGCCCAAAAAAAATTGTACTCTATTTGACTAACCTGACTCTTTTATCTCCCTCTTGTCTAAGCAATTCCAACGTGGGTGACTAATAAATATATAGGGGGTGTTTGGATAGAAACCAAACCATGGTTTCAGAAGTGTTTTTACGGTTTACGAAGTAAATATGTGAAGGAGTTTGCCTTATTTTGCAGAAAAGTGCTTCTGAAACCATGGTTTTCATATTGCCAAACACCCTCATAGTCACTTTCTCCTAGATGCCATCGATATTTGATTCTCCAATAAAATTTTGTTGAACAACCTAATCCTGAAAATATAAAATTTTTAAGTAGACTTTTATGAATAATTTACAAACATGGAAAGGTGGCTAATTAATCAGATCATCGTAAGTAATGATCTATGGTTTATGGCATTTTCTGCCGTTTTTTCACATGATTTGTGAGTGCTCAATCGTATGTAAATGGGTAATATCGTCATGATTTTCAGTTCATTCCGTGCTTTTAGATTATTTTTTAAGTAATTTTTTAAATAAATTTAGAGGAAAAGAAAATGAGATATAATGAAGCATTAGTGTATATACTCCTCTGGTCCTATTTATAAGGCACTTCTAACATGTTTCACACAGATCAAGGAAAACATTAAATTGCATTAACTCTCCATTAAAATATAACAACTTTCCAACTTTACCCCTATTTAATATATACTCCTTTTAAAAAAGATAACTACTTACACTATAATAAATGAAGGACAAAATAGTACATTCACATTGAAAATTTAATGAAGTGACTTATAAATAGGACCAAAAAAACTTTCTCTCTCTGCCCTATAAATAAGACCAGAGGAGTAATATTTTACCTTTTCACTACTGATCTTCTTCCCGTATTTATTGTGGAAATCAACAGAAAAGTGAATGGGGGAAAATGTTGTTGGGAGCATAAAAATTCAAATACACACAGAAAATAAAAAAATAATTAATAACATAAGTTGGAACATGTCCTGCGTATATATTCATTTCATCAAATCGTGTGTAGCTTAAACAGTAAAGTGAGATCAATGTAAGTTGATCAACTCGATCAGAATCTGTGAAAATATTGCCGTACGTAAAGGGCTAATAGCACGTTAATCGTATTAATCAAACAATTTTTAATTTCACATTACTGCGCACTATACAAGTTATGTATTATGAGCAACCGGTTGATATACGTAAATATGTGTTGTGTACTCTCGTGTATAGATCTTATAGTTAGAATCGGAGGTAATTATTTCGGTTCAACTAGCCTAACCATGATTGTTAATTAGATTAGCCTACTTTGATTAAGAAACGTTCATCAACTAGTCAACCTAATTCCTTGCCGCAATCAATGTACCATAAGAGCCTACACAACCACTGCTCTCCCTATATATATATAAAAAAAAAAATTATCCATATAGATTCCAAATAAGAAAATCAAATTCACATAAGTCTTAAAAATTTCATATTTATAAGTCACATTTACATATTTACAAGTCTAGATGCGTTTCACAAGTGAAATTTGTTTTTTTTAAAAAAAAACAAGAAGAAGAAGAATTCTTTAGGAGCTAATTAATGTTTTTAGTTGGAACTTACGAGTAATTTTCTTCTTATACTTTCTCTTTCAACTCTATGTATGTATGGATTAAGATATGACACACGCGCGCGCGCGCGCGCGCGCACACAAAAGTTAGGTACAAATGCTTCCTACAATACAATTCTATCAGCCATGACAGATCAGAAATGTATTTATATGTGAAGAAACTGGTTGGCATCTTTGGCACCGAGTTAGATCGTATTTTTGGAGCATATAATTAATACATTAATAAAAGAATGAATACATGTGAACGAACACTATGGAGAGAGAGAGGGGGAGAAAGAGATAAGCTCAAGACGGGAAGGTTGACCAGAAATAACACAACATAAGATCTTAAAGAAAATCTGCAGATGAAAGTCTCAAGGCATAGAAGTTTATGGGAGACAAATAGAAAGTCATTCTGGACAGACAATGGGCGATCATCCACAGCATCCCCACTCCCTGAGGCTGAATCGTGAAGAGACAAACACATTTAATTGCAGTGGATGCAAGGAACAAGGGTTTGGTCCAAGGTATGAATGTGCAAAGAAGAATTGTCGCGCCAAATATATCCTTCACAAGGAATGTTTCGAGGCTCACCCTAAAGACCGATTCAGAACCCATCCAGTCATGGGTGACCGCGGATTCAAATTCCTCTGGACAGCTCCCGTCGGACCGAACAACCGCCGGTTGTGCCACGCTTGCGTGGGAATGTTCACGGGTTTCTGTACCGTGCTCGATCGAATGCCAGCTGGCTTTACTTGCACCCTTCCTGCATGAACCTTGGGAGCACCATATCTCATCCCTATAAAAAGATGGAGCTGAACCTTAGAAACGAAGCGCCGTCCAACTCTCAGTGTGTGAATTGCAAGAGACAGGATCTAAACGTCGGAGGTGGGTGGTCCTACGTGTCCTCGTGTGGAAACTATTGGTACCATGTCGATTGTCTGAAGAAATTGATTCTGGAAATCAGGGAAAGGGGCTATTTCAATGTTGGTTCTCCTTCCTCGTCTTCTTCCTCTTCTTCTTCTCCTTCTTCTTCTACTATTAGTACTACTTCCTCGTCTTCGAGAATTAAGAGAGTGCCAAGTGATGGAGGGTTGACCACACCAGCCGCAAGCTCTGTGGCCTTGCCAAACGGACCCTGGTGGAGGCCGCGGATATCAACTACCAATCGTGAAGAGTTGATCAAACTGGTGAAAATATTTGTCTGCTTCATAATAGCATACCGATTGGTGCCTGAAGATCCAGTTCCAGTGTTCAATGCTCTTGCCGATAGAGTACTATGATATATATATAATGGTGATTTTATATTGCTCCTGATCCTTGAGTTATGTGTTTGTTAGTCTTTTATGTCTGACCGACTTGTG